TATGGTGGCTATGAATTTGTTCTGTGGCTACAGATTTGTAGTTCTTAATATATATATATTTTGCTCTTGGTTATTATTGCTATTATTTGAAAGTTTTTGGCTATAGATTTTTAAGTAGCTTCTAATCAGTGAAAGTTTACATGTTTCCATTCCAAGCTTTGTGAAACATGTTTTTGTTTATTACGAAACTGTTATAACAATGATCTTAGTATTTTTAACATTTGAAGATATGAAAATAATTTATGATAATTACATCAAATAATTCCAGCACTTGGGAGATTGAGGAGGTTAGCCTGGGCCCCATAGTGAAATGCTATCTTTAGTTAAACAGTATTAATGTAAAATCCAGAATCTATAGAGCGTAGAGTAAACCAGGACACGGAGGACAGTACTGAGTGCCTGGTCCACTAAGACTTGAGGGTAATGAATGGTCTAACCACTTATCTGCTTAATTTCCTGCTAAGCCAGACATGATCACGTCAATTTCCTTTATGAGCAAATGTTACACAATTACAACTTTGAGGGGGAGCAAAGTCATTTTGAACTCTAGACATCAGGACCATGAATTTATTGAGTGCATACACCTGGGAGGAAAATTCCCACCCTAGTTGGAAAGTTTAGTTGTAAAGAATGAATGCAGCATTTGCCACACTGTGGAGGAGGGCTTGCCAATTAAAAAGAAAACAAAATTAAATTACTTTTTAAATTAATCACATTTTGAAACTTGTTGTTTGTACATATTTGTTATGAAAATGAATTCTAGCAAGAGAATTTAGTTTTAATTTTTTAAGCGTTCACAAACAAAAAAGGTTAGCTCTCAGCAACAAATAAATGAGAAGTTGTCCTTATGGCAGATGAATTCCCATAGCCAGGGGAAACAATGAGATTAACTGCTGAGTTCCTTCATTCATTTTCTTTCAACAGTTCATTGCCTTTCATGATTACTTCTCTGCATCTCTAGAGAAATTATAGTTCAAATGTGCCTAGATTTGAACTTCACCTAAGTGGATTCACATGCTGCTTTCTGTGATTTGTTTCCTCTGCATGGACTTGTGCCCTGTGAGTCATCTCTGTCCCAAGACGTTGGTGTACATAGTGAAACTCACCCATTCACTGCATGATTAATAACCATCTGCATAGGTCCAGCACTTCATTGTTGTGGACAAGCTCTTCTAACCTGTACATGTCTGTAGCTGCACAATTGTGGAAGCTTCTCCAGGCTTTGTACCCAAGGATGAAATTGCTGAGCCAGAGGTTATTTGTTCCATAGCCGCTTTACAATTATCCAGCCACAAGCAGTGGATGAGAGTGTGGCTGCTCAGCCTTGCCAACACTTCATATTTCCCAACGTTTAAAAGTCTTGGCAAAACTGAATACTAAAAAATGGTATTTCATTGTGGTTTAAATAGCAAGTTTTTGATCTCCAGTGAGCCTACTTAGCTTTTCCCACTTTCTCGTGCTCACATGTCTTTTTCTCTTGGTATAAAGATTTTAATTAAATTTAATTAAATAGGCTAGATTCTAATCCTCTGTTATTTATATCTTTTTCAAGTATGCTACTGTATCTCCCGCTTTTGTGGCATATATTATGAATGGGCACATTTTGGCTTTGTTTTTCATTTTGCTTTGTGGTACTAGGGATCTAACCCAGGCTCTCATGGGAGCTAACCTGAGCTTCACTACTGAGCTTCTTTCTCAACCCTAACAAGACCCTTGTTATTTTGATATAGCTACCATTCCATCATGATTTGTACTATTTCTTTCTTATCTTAAGAAAGTTGTCTTTATCTGAAAGCTTTAAGAGAATTTCTGTATTTCTTAAGACTAAACTTTCACCTTTAAAGCTTTAATCCATTTAGAGTTAATAGAAGGAAGAAATCTATTTTTTTTTTTAGTTTATCTGGATAACGATCACTTTCTTACAATGCATCTTCTTAATATTCAGAGAACAACTATAGGGTGATACATTAAAATAAATCTTTCAATGATAGGCAAATTGAAGAGAGGAGGACTCCTATAAGGGAAACAATGTCTTTGTTGAATAATTCATCTTTTCTTTATTATTTTATAATGGCAGCTTGTTCACATGTGGGACATACTTATTCATATCACTTATGAATATTGCACACTGTGGTATCATTTACTTGTTAAAACTGAGTACTTACTGTATACCAGGCAGCATTTCATACCCTGAGGACACATCAGCAAACAATAAGTCTCTTTGTGTGTTTGTCTCTCTCTCTCTGTGGTTTACATTATAGACAGACAGACATAGTAAAAGATTAAGTTGCTATGAAGAAAGTAAGGTAAAGAAAAGGAATAAGGACAGTGATGGAAGTGGAGTAGCATACATTGCTGCTTTATGTGGTGACTCCTCATTGGTAGATGCTATTCCAGATGAGGAACACAAAGGAACTGAAGTCACAGAGCATAGGCTCCATGTACAGCCATATCATTCATGTCATCAACCTGGTGTCCATCCCTGTGTGAATATCGTGGTCTGAATTTCTATAACTTCATATAATAAACTCAACACACAGAGTCTTTTACTTGTGACCTCTAAGTGTTCATTAACTTCTCACTTACATTTCAGGATCTATTTATCAAGTTCCAAATCATATTTAAACAACAACAAAAGCTTGAGCTATGGTTTCAATGTATTCATGGTTTAGCTTGAGGATAACTGACAGCTTTATATCACCAAGTCTTCCTTATCCAGTCATGAACATACAGCACATCCTTCCATCTCTTTAATGACCCTCCATTCTGCCTTCAGCTCCAGCCTTATTTGCCTTGCCACTCCCTGGTGCCAGCACACTCCTGCTATCCTTAATGACTTTTCGTGTCTCAAAGTCACCATGCCTTGTGCTCCTCCACCTTTGTACAGACTGTTCCGCTCTGCTGGGAACACCCTCTGCCCTCTCCCTCCTCCCACTGACCAACTCAGACTCACTGTTCCATGCTGGGTTAAGCCTCTTCTTTAGAGAAACTTGACTAAGAGAGCATCCATTTTCTCTGTCCTGATGACCCCTGTTCTAGTCACTGCTCTAGTCGGATGTGAATGCTTATCTATTTATGTGCCAGCAGTAACCTAGCAACATCAAGACAGGGACTACATTTTGTGTCAGGGTACTGCGAACACCTAGTTGATGCTCATTAGATAAGTGAGTGTTGACATCTGTGAGTTTTTATGCAGCGTGGGTATCACTGTGATGACAATTACTGCCAGAGTCCAGAAGAGCCTGAGCCCCTGAGCACTTGGTGTTTCTGGAATTTTCCTCCCTTAGAGCTGGTTTCACATACACCTCCAGAAATTTACCACTCCTTAGAACATTTTGTATATACACCACATTTCTGTCAGATTACAAAAGATCATCCCACTTTATGCTTAGGAATTGAAGGATTAAAATAAGAAGTGCTTACATTCAAAGATGAAGGTGCTTCTGGAAATATTTGTCTGAGACTGGAACCTATTTCAGACAGGATGCTTTAGGTGGTAACCTGCTCCTACATTCAGGAAAACTTCACAGGCTGGTTCCACTATTGGAGATCGTAGTGCTAATGAAAAGGAGGACATCCGGAGTTTAAAATGGGTGCACAACAGAATAAATATGAAATAATAGCCTTATTCTATGGGGTCATATGGTAAGATATGAAGCTTCATTCATTGGCATTTCTGACTAATAAAAGAGAAAAGCCCCTTCTCTGAAAGGTGCATCAGCAACAGCAGTCACGCATCTTTGTTGTGTGTTAGTGGAGTCTGTGGCTTCTCTATCACTTGCTGACCAGAGACTGGGGGCTCAGGGCTTCCCCTGTCTTATCAGTGCAGACATGCTTTTGTCCACTAAGAGCTTGCAACTTGGACTTTTCTTCTCTCCTCCTTGAAATGCAACTTGATAGAACTGTTGTCAGTAATCACACCCCTACCATATTCACTTTGGTGGTTAATATCTCAGATTATCAAAGACAGCTCTGCAAAAATTGACAGAGTCAAGATCCAATCAATTCAGAGAGTTTATAGTGTAGGTGGGTTGGAAATTCTCAAAGACCAAACCTTGTAACCTGTAAAGGTTAAATTCAATGCTAAGAAACACTCTACTTGAGAAGGGATTGAATAAAAAAAACAAAGGTAAATGAACACATTCCATTTAACCATGTGTTACAGCTGATAAAATTATCTGAGAACCAATTGTTCTTAAAAACCAGGAAAGAAACCAAACAGGTAAGATCTAGTTCTTCTAATGCTTAAACACGCATTCTGTTTCTCCTTAAGGTAGCACTAGCTCTGAAAGTGCAGGCATAAAGCATAAAGACTTGATGAGGCAGCTTTCATGCAACAGACCTCCAGCATGCCCACACCAGGGGGTAAGCAAACAACTTCTAAGACAATGGAAGGGAACCTGGGGCCAGAAGAGAGAGAAGGATCAGAAGAAAGACACAGTCCTGGAAGTGAACTTCAGGAGCACTGGAGAAGGTGCTAACAAGGCTTCTTTCCCTCCTGCTGAAATCACTGTGTCAGTGTTAAGGTGAAGCCAGGGAGCTCCTTGGTATGCTGCATATGGTGTAAGGAGAGTGGCAGATCCCACCATGTTTATTGAGGATGCCTGGTATAAGCTTCCTTGCCCAATGTATTTGCAAAGCAAATGTTCAAAATCAGAATTATGGTCTAATGCAGTGGTTCTCAACCTCCCTAATGTTGGGACCCTTTAATACAGTTTCTTCTGATGTGGTGACCCCCCAACCATAAAATTATTTTCATTGCTATTTAATAGTTATAATTTTGCTATTGTTATGAATCATAATGTAAATATCTGATATACAGAATTTCTGATATGTGACCCCTGTGGGGGGTCATGACACATGTTGAGAACCACCGGTCTAATGAGACTTGAAGAACCTCTATGGAAATTGCAGCTGTTCTTTAAAACAACTATCTTTCCTCGTCTCTCTACTTGTACTCAGAAATACTGATCACACACACACACTATAAGCTTACTTACACAGTGACACTGTGTCAAAGCCTAAATCTTCTTGAAGTCTCTGAAGCCTCAGCCTGCTGCTTGGGTAGATTCACATTGCTGTTTAGGCCTCCGTGGAAGGAACTCTGTGGAAGCAGAAATAGGGAGCTGCCATACAGAGTCTGTTATCTTAGTAGAAATAGTGCTAATCTGTTGGCCCTGGCATGGATCCTGTTTTATTTTAAGGGGTGACTTTTTTTTTTTCTGAGAAGGAGGGACCCTTTTGCCTGGGCACATGCTATAAATGTTTTTGTTATATTTTGTCATTTTCTCTCTACAAAAAAAATGTTATAATTCAGTTAAATACATGTGCTTAAGAAACACATTTAAATGTTCAATTCTAAGGAGGATAAGAATTACCTGTTTGGATGAGAGTTTTGTTTCTTTCAAATAAATGTAGTCATGACTCTATCTTAGCTCTTTGGAGAAAAGCCACTAAATAAGTGCATGAAAGCCTGCAGTTCTTGCCTGTGTCTGTTTTATTCTTTGGATTTTCACTGTTTGATGACTGATTCTTTCTGTGTACCTACTGATCTATTCCCACCCTCAATTTCCCAGCCTCCCAAAACTCCAACAGATTGATTCCAATGGAAGAAAATGCAAATCTAATGAGATATTTGTATCTTTGAAAACCTAAGTCAACCTTGAGACTGTCAAAGAGAGAAATTACAACTAATACATTTCTGAAGTAGAAATAAAAGTGTCATTTAAAATAGCAACCAGGTTCATGAGTCTAGTCCTAATTCTCTACTTGTATATTCACAGGAACATATTTTTTCAGTTTAACTGAGAATAAGGAAGGAAATTGAAGCTCATACTTCACCTAACTTCCTGAATGTATACCCATGTTTTCCTTTAAGACCATATGTAAGAAGCACTGCTTTAAAGGCTATGGTTAAAAAGTCAAAGACTGTGTGATCCCCAATCATTCTCTGGCATGGGTTATTTGAATGTAAGTGCATATAAGATAGGAAACACACCATAGATCACACATGGTGAAACCTGTGGGTATGTCATCAGTGATACTGATGCCTTTTATGATTCCTGACAGACTAGAGGTCTAGGCTAGGATTTTTTATTGAAATGTTGTGTCATTTTGCAGTCTTCCCTCTACCACAGAATAGAGGCTTTCCTTGAAAGAATGCAACAAAGGACCACAGTAGTCTTGCCTTTCAAAGGGAGGAAGTGAGGCATGTGGCATTCTGACACAATGGGACAGGTAAAATCGCTTCTACAGATGTGCAATGGCAGTAGCTTAGATCACATACTTGGGTGCTTATTCTCCATCCAGTCTTCTGCTATCCCAGCTGAAGCAGCACTTTCCATCTCCATAACTCTGGGCTCCCAGTGTGTAAATGTCCAAACAGATGTATGAAATAAAAATGAAAGGCTGCCTGTATTCCTGGAGCTGATAGAAGAAAGGTAATTTATAACTTGACTCTGGGAACAGCTTGAAAGTTGGTCATAGAAAGATAATTTAACACGATCCACTGAGTATATAGCATATCCAAGCCCTTCTGAATGAGTTTCATTTCCAGGCAGTAAAGCCCTGCAGAAGAATTTGTTGCAAAAGTTTACAATTCTATGCCTCCTTTGGTTTTACTAAGACCACCTATTTCAGGAACCAAGAGGACTCATTAATAATCAAGTTCGAGGATGGAATGATGAAGTCTGATTTGGTTGTATTGTTGTTCTTTGCTCAAGTTCGTTTTGGTTGTATTGTTGTTCTTTGCTATTTAAAGAGGCTCATTAGTTTACTTTTAATTTCATGTTTTTGTTTTGTTTTGTTTTGTTTTGCCAGTCCTTCACAAAACCTCATTACACAAGTTGTAATCTCTGCAGGTCATCTCTGTATCTGCATCAATACAGAGGACATCACCACTGACAGTTTAACCTTCTAAAGCAGTGCCGTGTGTGCATCACGCAATATGCCTGTGACTAAGCTTCATCATCATCATCATCATCATCATCATCATCTTCCTATAGGTGTTATTACCTAGGTGAGGTGCTGACAGTTCAGTTAGGAGGGAAATGGGAAGTGAAAACACAGAGGAAGGAGGGGTTGTGGTCCTTCAAGGAAGTCTAATCCAGAAAGAGAATGGTTCCTCATCTTAGGCCTCTGTCATTGTCCAGAGCCTCAGTGATTCTATGGCCTGGCAGCATATTGGAAGGCTGAGTCTGTGTCTGTGTAAGTTCTAGGCTGCTGCACAGCACACCGCCAAACCCACTGCCCTTACCACCAAAGACTTACCTCTGTGGTCTGGGCTGCTGCCTGAAGCCATGTTCATGTCCAAGGGCCCTTCCTCCACTGTTGACCTCAGCCCTCTCTCACACCTGGCACCGCCATTAGTCTCCAGTTCTATCTCTCCACAGCTGATGCACTGTTCTTCTCTTCTGCCTTTCCCACCTCTCCATCACACATTGTTCATTGTGGTAGCACCTGAGAGGTGGGGCAGGGGCTGGGGGTGGGGCAATGAGGCTAGGGGGTGGAGTGGGGGCCAGGACAGGCCAGCCTCTGTGCCTGTCCATGCCCACATAAGCCTTTTTAACTATTTAAAATAACCTTATCATCTCAGGACAGTTAAAATTCATTCACTGCCATTCTTCATTATAGGGCTGTTTCTTCTTCCCTCTGTCTCACAAAGCCTGACTGGGCAAAGTACTTCCACTGACCACATGGGAGACTCAATGCTGAATCATTCCAAAGGGTAGAGAGGATGATTAAGAGCTGACCACAAATTAAATAAGCAAGAGAAGTCTGAGTCTGAATTGGAAATGTCTGCTGCATTTTCACACTGGAGCCTGTGTACACCATGTATGCTCTATAAAATCATCCAGGTATTTGCTATCCACAATGGTAATAATGTTCTTAGTCTTTGCAAAGGAAATTTTAAAACGTTCAAATATTTTACTTTTAGTGAATGAGTTATAGAAGTGCATCATTATATTGATGTTGGATTTTTGGAATCTAAAGTGTACCAGAGTAACCCTATTGCCAGTTAAAACTAATAGTAACACAAATAATAAGTTGTAAGTATTAATAAAATCTTAGTGTAAAGTATGAATTTGCATTTTGACCTTGTTATTACTTTTTGCCTCTCCTATGTTGAAAATGTTCAGTAACTCACTCAGTATCTTATTATCTTGCTAGGTTTATTTTTGCCTGTGTTTATCAATCACTGTTTACCTGATATTATCCTAAGTGCTCCTCAAAGACCACATGTGTTTAGTTCTTACACTGGTCCCATGAGCTAGGAAACATTTCTCCCCATACTTTTTAGACAAAGAAAGCCCACATTCCTACCCTTATGACTTTCCTATTCCAGGACACTGGGTTAGCTATTTCATGAAATCTCTGAAGTCAACAAAGCAGTGGCATCAAGCCATGATCTGAGTACTCCTGTGTCCTGCAGCTAATAGATGGGTCACACAGCAAGAAGACATGGAGGTATTGTACTAAGTAGAATGTCACTGTTTTGGACAGAGCCACCACCTTTCTTTAGGCATCTCATAAAAATCAAAATCATATTGGTTAAAGTGTTATAAATTGAAGCCAAGGGGATCCCTAAGTTCCAGTTTTCTCAATATAGCAAAAACAGCTAAGAAATGTGGGTTAATTTTTCCTTGGGTCTGAAAACCAATATGATCTAATATTAAGAATATTGGATCAAGAAACAGGGAAATAGGGTGTTAATCTCTATAAAGATTGAACAGATCATTTTTCTCATCTGGATTCACTCTGCTCATCTATAATTGTGGTTCAAAAAAAAAAACCAAAAAAACTCATTCATACATTTGTTCAGTCAGTGAGTCAGTCAGTCACTATATAGAGGCTCAGAAATTGCTTGTTATGACCAAATCTTTGGTAGAACTTTGACTATCAAGGCTATAGGTGACAGTTTACTCTATTTTGATTCTTATGACTTAGTGGGTGTAGGGGCAAGTTACTAGTTATTACTTAGGCTCAACTGAGTGGTCAGGGTAGCAATAAAAGTGTACATAGTTTTCTGTGGCAACATTTGGAAAAGGGAGCTGGCTGAGAGAGGAAGGTATGGGGAAAGGCATTCAGGCAATGCTTCTGGAGATGAGTATGAAAGGAGAAAGTTCCCAATAAGTTGTCCAGATAAACACAAGCACAGGGAGTGATTGGAAGAAAGTGAAAGAGGTGTTCCAAGAGTAGATAACACCTAGACCCTAGGGAGAAAAAGATCTGTCACTTGCAGATCTTCAAGGAGCTAATGATGACTGGAGTCTTGCAGGTATTGAGCTGAGAGTGTCCACACTTGTGTGGGGAGGGCAAGCCTGGGTAGGGAAAGTGGAGTATAAACATCTACAGAGTATGAATATCTCACCTCCACAGCAGTGGGGAACCTGAAAAGAGTTATATAGAAAATCAGTATTTTAAAACAGCACTCTGGAAACTGTGGAGAATAATTTACAGTAAGCAAACCTGGAGGTAGGTTAGGTAAGCCAATGGTTCTTGAACTTCAGTGGGTAACAGAATCCCTCTCAATTATTGAAACAAGAAGGCAAGTCTGCCACACCAAGGCTTCTGAACAGGAAGGTCTGGATCATGGCCTGAGAAAATGCATTTCTAGTATGTGGTCCTGATGCTGTGGTACTGATGTTACCCACCCAGTAAACAGGCAGAGAACCACTGTAGGAGGCAGCATTGGTAGTAAATTCAAACTCTACAGTTTTCCCCCAGGGACTTGCCAGTTTTGCTTCAAAAGCACCTGTCTTGTCATGAATATATGTTTTATGCAACCTGCTCATTCTAGCCAGAAGCCTTTTTATTAACATAATAGATGTCAGTTCATAATTTGCGTTAATTGTTGTTATTTGTTTTAATTAGGTTTCTTATCTGTTTCTATTTTGTTTTTAATGAAAGCCCTTATGAATTGCTTTTGTAATAATCTGGAACTCAAGAAGTGAGACATGTTGCTGCAATTAGCCTAAAATCCAATGGAACTCATTGTTGAATGAAAAGGACTGGCCTTTGTAAAGAAAAACAAAATTGTGCTGATCACTCTAGTTTGGAAAAGAACCTAAAGAAAAGTTTGTTTTTTGTTCACTCAAACTTATCTCTACAATGTTCCTGTGATGTGCTTTATTTGATACACCAGAGAAAATTCTCAAGCTTTGATGCAGGATATAAAGCAGATATGCTAGCACACTTGACTAAATCCTTTGTCTAAACTGAAACACAATAGAGCAATTGAAAGCTGTCATATTTGGGCTCAGAATCTAGAAAGGAAAATTTGTTGGAGGAGGTGAAATCTTGTCTGTTTTCTGTAGATTAAAAACCTAATATTTCCATTTTGAGGCTAGAACAACAAAAAGGTCACATCATAAGCTATCTATAAATCCAATGATCACAATGCCTTTCTTAACCTGTGTATAAAAACAAAACCAAAAACCCAAAACAAAAAACACCCTAGCAAAGAGAAGCTATGCCTCATTAGAAAATAAAGTATCTCCATTAACTTGGGAACAAAGTTGCATATCTGTCTCATTTTAATTGAAACGGCAAAGTTCTGTGTTGTTTTTTCATCAAGATGACAGTGAATTTGTAAAACCATCAGGCTGTTTATATCTCAGGAGTAGACTACTTTCAATGCTGAATTATTTTAGCATCATAGAATCTGTTAGTGTTAAGACATGTAAGAAAGATTTTGTCAAAATAAAGTCAATTTGTAATGATTTTTGTGACTGTCTTGTGCTAATTTACTTCTGGTGATTACCCAACCTCTCTCCTTCTATGGCATGCCTGTAATACATCAGCGGTTCCTTTATCTCAGTATCAAACTTTCAAAATGCTTAGCCTCATTATGCTTGCCCAGAGTGTCCCAGTTGTGGTTACTAACGTCATAGTTATTTGAAAATGCAGGGATGTGTCCATGCTTCTGAAAAATTTTGGCCACACGCATCTTCTTAGAAGGTTAACTGCAGCCAGCAGAACCAGTGAAGGTACTAATGAAGCAGATTCCATCGACTCAGGCATTTTCTCTCTGCATAGTGACTCGGTGTGTGAACTCGAGATGGGTTTCAGCAGGAAGGGATTGCGGCATCCCTGAGCAGTGGGCCATAATTATAATTACAGGTGTGGCACAGACAGCAGGAGAGGGTGAGCTCATAAGAAACAAAGATTTGCTCTGCTGGATCATCTATCTTCACTGGAGAACAAAGAGCAGACGAATAAATAAGGGAGTTACCATGTAAACAAATTGAGCAACCACCAACACACAACAGAATGCATGTTCCTCAGCCAATATCTACACGCCTGTCTTACAGGAAGCTCTTGCCTTTCCCTGGTAGAGGTAAGTGCTGCCTTTCTGTTCCCTCCCAACCTCCAGTGGGTGGACAGGGGCTGATTGCATAACAGCAATGGAGTTAGGTTCCTCTAGTCTTTCACCATCTCCCCCTACTCCAGTCTGTTTCACAATCATCACAAGAGGACAACACAAGCATTGACCTTGAATGAGAATGTTCAGGCCTCCTTGCTTTCTCAGCTAGAAAGAGGACAGCAAACCGTTCTTGTCCCTTTTAGAGCCCAATTCTAAAATGTTAGGCATTGCTTTCTTTTTCTTCAGACAGCTCTCTTTTAGGCCAACAGCAGATTCAGTTGGGTTTTAAGCTAATTGGAGCAACAGGCTTTTACTTCTTCATTTTCAGATTTTCATAAAAGCAATTTGCAGGGCTAGGAGCCAATTTTCTACTGGAAAAGCAAATCAAAGGAGTACTGCAATTATGTAAATGATTAAAAAAAATCACTGCAACACAATCTCTTGTTTGCCTACCTTTAGGCAGGGCAATTACACCCCTAGCTCCCTTTTCTGCTGGGCCCTCAACAATTGGTTTGCCTGTAGGCTGGGTGGTGAAGGGCAGTGCTGAGGTTCCCCAGGGATGGTGTTCTGACACAGCCAGAGGAAGATCAGGAGGTGGATTAGAAGCCTTTTCAGGCTGGCAAGCTTTTGATCTAGCATTTGTAAGCTAAGAAGAGCAAAGTTTACAGGAAAGCTAGAAAGGAAGCTTGAAAAGAGTAAGAGCGATGTTTGCCCTGTTTTAACTCTTTTTATTGTGTGCCTTAACCAAAGTCTTAAAGCAAAATAATTTCCTTCATATCAAAAATTATTGATAACATGAAGGTGACTGCTGCTGAAACGGTCTTGGGTATGGCATTTGCTAAAGTAATGGGAAGCTCTACCACATGATGGATGATTCTTTCTTAGAAACCTGTGTGGAAGGGCTGAAAATAGTCAAAGTAATAGGCATATAATTATTTTATTTCTCGTGTTTTAATGCATAGAAAATTGCTTTCCTATATCACTTTGCACGTCTTATTTTGGCTATCAGGAACTTGGTGGTCAGAGGAGAAAGTTCAGTGTGTATCAAGTGTAGCTTGGTGAAAAAGAGATGGCAGGAAGCACAGCCTTGACT